ATTAGGAAGGGTGAATGTTCACTATAGTGCTAGGGTACATATAGTAAACAGAGCATGCAAAGAAGGTGCACCACCACCAGTTTATAATAACTACACTAAACTACAGCTACAGGCAGTTACAATAATGAGGGGGGTGTAAGTAGAGCTGCACTGTGAGATCCCCGATTGATCCTTGGGGGGTTATAGGCGCGTTGGCCTGGGGGTTTATGGGCGCACTGACCCGCTACTTAACAAGCCCTTTTATCCCAATGGTCTAGTGGTTGGGATTCTGACATGGTATCAGAGCAGTCTCAGGTTCGAATCCCAGTGTGTGCACTTCGGGCATCCCAGTGCGGGGGGGTGTCGGAGGTCTACTAGAGATCCCCGATTGATCATAGGGAGGGTTACATGTACGTTGGCCTGGGGGGTTATGGGCGCACTGACCCGCTACTTAACAAGCCATTTTATCCCAATGGTCTAGTGGTTGGGATTCTGACATGGTATCAGAACGGTCTCGGGTTCGATTCCCGGTGTATGCACATGTAGGCCGTTGCCGCTGTACTTAGTCCTAGGCCTCCCATCGTGGGGGGGTGTCAGTAGATCTGCACTGTGGATGCCCGATTGATCTTGGAGAGGGTTACAGGCGCGTTCGCCTAAGAGGTTATGAGCGCACTGTAACAGAATCTTAGCGAGGCTTAGGAGCCATGGTTAGTGAGGTAGGAGTAGTTGAGTTCGAGTGAGTTGAGTAGGAAGTATCGAGTGTGAGGAAAATGTCGAGAGGAATGTTGAATAATAGCAAAGAGATACAACATATAGTCAAGAAACTAGAGATGCACCACCAAACAGAAGACAAGATAAATATACTACACCTAAACCACAAGCAGTTACATAAAATAATATTGACACACTGACCCGCCATTGAAACAAGCCCTTTTATTCCAATGGTCTAGTGGTTGGGATTCTGACATGTCTTGGGTCAGATTGTCATTATAACGCATGTGATAGGACTTTCTTTGGTCTGTTGCGGTTACACTAGGCGTCCCGGTCAGTCAAACATATGCCAGTCTATCGAGAATGAGGGTCTACACTTTTCGCTTACATCCAATGGTTTAGGGCGCATTTCAATCATTGGAGGCGCTTTTCCACCTCATACAGATGTTCTGGCTTAGAGGCCCTTCCTAAAAGAGTCCAATTTCCTCAACGAGTACCTTTTTCACATAAGTCCTATCCCCTCCTCTACAGTCCTATTTTTGGCGGGAAATCTTGCATCTTGACTGAATCATTGCACGAATCAGTTCCGCAGCCAATCAAAGGACGCAAATCGAACATGTCGGAACATTTAGAGAAAATAAAACGAAACGAAGTTTTGATTCAATATTTACTCTTTGCAGATGTGTTTGTCTGTTTATCTTGATCGCTCTTGCGCCTAAATCCCGTTGCACGGTTCCCCACGAGCTCTAACGATGCCATCTTATTAATCTCGCTTACAGTGTAAAATAAAAATGTTGTCTTTTATTTCGGCCTTAGACATAATTTATTTTGCATTTTTCTGCCCGTTTGTCCTACGACACTGATGAACGCGGAGAACCGTGCGACGAGAAGTTGAAGACAACGTAGTCTAAATGTACGTATGTGACAGAAAAATACGAATAGTAGCGAAGGAAAATCGCTCTTCATGCAATTGTCCTTATATGGGACTATAAGTTCTCTTTTGCCCGGGGTTTGTGAGTTTTCCACAAAGGCCCGCAGCGCACGCGTTTTTCATGGAGACTCTAATCGAGAACATCTGTATGTATCAACGTCAAGTAAATAGGGTGTTCACATGAGATTCCCCCAAAGCGAACCGCGCTCAATAACAGTGCACAGATATTTGTGAAGCACGTGTTCGGGGTTGCTTCACGAAAGTCTGTTATGAACGATCTTGAAGTCTACGGGGTTACATGCCCTTGATTGGGTTTGATAATTCGCTCGAGCTCGTCTAGGTGTGTATCCACGTTTGCATGGCACGTGGAATGGGTGTGGTCAGTTGCAAAACTGCCACGCTGGACCCACTTTTGGGCCTCTTAGGGCTACTTTGCTTGGGGGATATTGTTGTGAACGCCATCAGGCATACACCTAGCCCGCGCCAATTTCACACCCCATCAGTTTTTGGTTAAAGCCCATTTGAACCTTTTTTGGCTTTGGAGATCAGACACCCAAGGAACTAGAGGCTATCCGTGACATTATAAACTGTCGATGTTCTGAAAGTGTGACTTTGTGACCCCAACATAAATACTGGATCTTCCCTTGCTACCATGTTTTTATTTTCCCGCTGACTCTTAAGCGGAGTCTGAATCGTTAATTCCTTCAAACCAAACTGTTCAAAACAACTCTCAATTTCCGGGTAAACAGGAACGAATACACAGGGGTGTGCAATTTGGAGGGTGTTAAAATACAGCGGACCATGTGTACATAGTTCAAAACCCCTCCATCGTCCTCAGGCACTCATCCATTGAAGAAACGTCAATACGGCATATGGTATTTTCGTTGTAAGTTCCTTCGTGAGTATACTCTGGTCGTGCGCACCCCTACACCCTGCACCCCTCACTCAGGACGTGGCCTTCATCCTGCCGTCCCTGCTCGGTCTCCTACTGGACTGTGCCACGCGCCCCGACCAGTCACTGGCAGCCATAGCAGTGGGAGCACAGCTGAGGCTCATTGACAGGGGGGCGCCGCTCTTCTCCTCCCGTGACTGGGCCGTGCTGCTTGACAGCCTCAGGTGGGAGTGACTTGACATTTTTGGGTTGGACATGGCATGGCAGTGGGTACACAGGGGGGGATGTGTGGGGAGCACAGCTGATGCTCATCGACAGGGGGACGATGCTCTTCTCGTCAAGGGACTGGGCCGTGCTGCTTGACAGCCTGAGGGGCGGGTTTGATAGCCCATCTGATTCCGATCGCCAACAGCATTGCAATCCTCATGCCCATCCACCCTCTGATGTTGTTTGGAGTGGTTAGCCCGATAGGGAGTTGCCATTAAAACCACTTGCCCCGCTGTCATCCGCAATCAAAGAAACACTTGCCTCACTGAAACCCTTGCAATCACTTCTCCCCTCCCCACCCACCCCTTGCCCTACCCACCCCACCTTCTTCCCTGCCCACCTCACCGCACTCCACCCCATCCCACCCACGATTTTCTTTCGAAGTTGCCACACGAACCACTTGCCCTACCGAACTTCTCGCCATCACCGACACCTCTCTCGCTGCCTCTGCCTCCTCCATACGTCTTACCTCCCCACCAACCTTCTTCCCGTCCCACCCCTTCCCACCCCACCCCACCCCAGAGTGGCCACACTAACCACTCGTCCCACCGAGCTTCTCGCAATCACTGAAGCATCCCTCGCTGCCTCTGCTGCTGCCGCCGCCAACGCCGCTGCTGCTGCTGGCGACACCGCTGCTGCCCGTGAGGAGAAACTCACAGAAAGAGAAGTTTTACGAATACGTTATTCACTCAGCATCGACGAGTTCCATTCCGAGACGAACATGTTAGGGCGATCTCAAATCCGGCACCACACCCATTCTTATCAAAACATATTCTCCAAACATGGTTACTGTCGAACCACCTGCTTAGTTGACGTATGGCAGAACCGAGCCAGCGAGAACTGAGGGCCCTGCAAATCACCAAGTGCTCAAGCCAACTTACGCAAGATGTCAATTCCGAACCTTGAGGCGCTGGTTCAATTGAACAGTGGAGCACCCCGTGGGAGAGCTTCCAGTGTTTGGCTGCGCTTCCATTGCCGAACCGAAATCCAGCTTTACAAAAGCCTGAAGGCGCTGTGAACAGTGCTACCCTGGGCTCCAGGTCTGGTGGAAAGGCTCCAGCACGACATGCCACCACTGCAAATCGGACAATTTGCCCAGCAGTGTCCATTTCCCCAACCAGGTACATCTGCCGCGCCGCGCCTGCCCTTCCGCAATCACTTCCGCATAGCCTTCCGTTCTGACCAATGGAAGAAGCCGAATGTCGAAGTTGGTTGCCCATTTCCCCCCACCTTCTTCCTTCCCCCGTTTTTCCCCCCTGCGCCTACTAACCCCCACCCACTCATCCAACGCCCCCCGCGCGCAACATCAACCACGCTCCCCCCAGGCCAAACTCTGGATCTGGGGGGAAGGCGGAAGTTGGGGCACGCCGACAGACGGATTCCCCCGTCCCCTTCCCCCTCCCAGCGCCCACCCATTTCATCCCGCGCGTTGCGCACACAGCAATTTTTTTCGCGCGCCTCCTCTCCATTTCTGCCTTTCCCCCACCCCTTTCCATTCCCCTTTCCTCGTGTTGAGTATTTCACGAGCACGACTCCAAACTCGCCAACACAGCAATGCCTGGTTTCCACACGCACGCCTCCTTGTACTTTCTCTTATGATATGGGAAGCTTATCCCTTGGTGGTGCCTGACTCGCTCTTCCCGATAACGTTTCAGTGGAGTCGCGAGTTCTCTTCAACGGCTCGACCAGTTCAGATCGGACGGCCCGAAGCGGTCAAAGCTGACAATACCGAAGGCCACCTGTAACCAAGACCGAGGTTGAAGTTGCTTCTTTGTTGCAGCTGACAATTCGGGAATCTCACATTTCTTTTCCCGACGAGTCGGTCCTTCCAAGTGCTACCCCGATGACCTGCCTAAGTTCGCGCGGCGTTCTCGCCGCTGCCGCCGCCACCGAACCCCGCGCGGACACGCGTCGCCGCTCGGCCGGATGCGCTCGCCGCAAGCGCAGCTCACGCAGATCCGTTGCGTTCCTGGCGCTCCCAATCCTGCTTCTCCTGATTCTCCTCCCGACAGTCGCGGCGCAGCTCACGTGGGGGGATCTGTTTCAAGGAATAGTCGATTGGGCTAAAGGCGTATTTAAGGGGGATGGCGACGACGACGACGACGACGATGGCGTTTCGTCATCCTCGTCTTGTACCGCGTCGTCTCTTGCCGGATACACGTCGTCAGTCAGCCTCGGAAGCGCGTGAGTGTTTGACTTGGTAGTTTCCCATTAGAGGAAATGCCGCAATACTTCGAAACGTCAACTTATCCTCAGTGCTTCACCTTTTTCTCTTTCACTTTCATTTCTGTTATCCCCCTTGCCTTTTGCGTTTTTATGCATCGTATACCTGAAAGTTTTTCCAGGTCGGCGCCATTCAGCTGCGTGGGTCGTCGTTACGCTCAACCACCACCCGGTCCCCTCTTCTCCTCCCTATTTTGGAGTCGACTCAAAAATACATTCAGCTGCGTGGGTCGTCGTTACGCTCAACCGCCACCCGGTCCTTTCTTCTCCTCCCCCGTGCTGCCCATGTTTCCCGTCCATTTCCGTTACAGTCTTACCCTACATTGGACCGTTCCTGCCGGCGGCGCGAAGGTGAAGTTTGCCCTGGAGGCGGACGGCGGCTCGAACGCCGCCAAAGGCTGGATGTCCGTCGGATTCTCATCGGACGGTGATATGGTGCCCGCCGATGCTGTGATCGGAAACATGGGCGGCACGGGGGTCTACGCGTATCGTATGTCGGGATACGATCGATCCGACGTGGCGCGAACCTCGTCGTTCACGATCTACGCGCCGGGGCTATCTACCACGTCATCGAGGACGATCATGACGTAAGCGTTCCATCGCTAATGTCATCTTATTACTGTCGCGCTTCGTACCATAACTTTAATAGAAAAAAAAAAACTAATAATAGACTCAGTGTGATTTCGCATCGTATCAAGAAATGTCTATAACATTGAGCTGCGCCGTTTCTTCGCTTCACTCCCATCGGCTCCCCGTCAGCTCAACAAACCGTCCGCCCCACCTTCCCCTGCTCCTTCCGCCGCCCCTTCCCCTGCTCCTTCCGCCGCCCCTTCCCCTGCTCCTTCCTCCGAACCTTTCGCGCAGCTTCACTCGGTCCACGTCAGACGGGAGCGTGAGCGTCAACCCGACCGGCTCCAACAAGCTCATCTGGGCCTTCTCCTCCTCGGGCTCCAAGACTCTCGCCTACCATGGCGGCAAGTAGTAAGCTCCCACTGCGGCAAATGGCAAGCTGCTCTATCGCACAGTATGGCCGCAGCAGCATCGAGTGAGTGAGCGTCTACCCCGCTGGTTCCAACAAGCTCATCTGGGCCTTTTCCTCCTCGGGCTCCAAGACTCTCGCCTACCATGGCGGCAAGTAGTAAGCTCCTTCCCTCCCCAGCATTCCCTCCCCACGTCGGACGGGAGCGTGAGCGTCAACCCGACCGGCTCCAACAAGCTCATCTGGGCCTTCTCCTCCTCGGGCTCCAAGACTCTCGCCTACCACGGCGGCGAATAGCTCCCTCCCTCCCTCCCTCCCTCCCTCCCTCCCTCTTAAACCCTCTATCCCTCACACGGATTGGTACAGCCGCATCCCCTCTCCTCTAATCTCCCCCTCTCCCGGTCCCCTCACCTCCCCGTTTGCCAGCAGAAGAACCGCCCTTGACCTCGCGTGCTCCATTTGGTCATCTGTATTCGAGTCTTGAGAATTATAACAACCCCTTTTCCCTCTCCTTCCTTACCCTATCACCTCCCCGTTTTGCCAGCGGAAGAACCACAGATGACTTTTCATGCTCGTCCCATGACATTAGAGGCACCTCAAAAGTCTCTCCCCCTCTTACTTCCCCCTCTCTCCCTCCCCTTCCCCCCGTACCCCTTTGTCAGTGGAAGAACCACAGTTGACTTTTCTTGCTCCTCCACGTCATCCGGCTCGGGATCAGGCTCGGGTTCAGGTTCGGGATCAGGCTCGGGATCAGGCTCGACGGGTAATGCCTGTGCCAAGTCGACCCTGACTGGATACTCCTATCAAACTCCGTTGAACGGCAATAGGTGTGTGGAGTGGTGAAGAGGGTTTGGCTGGCTAGTGGTGGGGAGGTGTGTGAAGGTGTGGGGAGGCGGTGAAAAACATGCGCCTACCAATTTTAGGTGGCTGAATGGGGCCAGGTGTGTGAAGGGGTGTGGAGATGTGTAATGCGGTGACGATGTTTTCCCATGCCTGTGTGTCAAATGGACCTGTTCAACTGTCTTCATTTCATTTAACTGGACCCCCCCCCCCCCCCCCCCCCCCCCCCCTTTTTTTTTTTTTTTTTTTTTTTTTTTTTTTTTTTTTTTTTGGCTTTGTTGTGTGCATTCTTCTCACGCCCTCTACTTTACGTTCAACCCCCTATCCTCTATACAGTCTGCTCCTGCATTGGAACAAGGCGCGCAGCAACGGAGCAGTGACAATGGCAGTAGAAGCCAAGTCAGGATGTTTCCAATTCCGGATGTTTTTCCCTTGCCTGGCTGGAAAGCTAATGCCAAACCCCCAATACCCACTTGTTTACCCTCAAGTTCCTATCCTCGATACAGTCTCCTCCTGCATTGGAACAAGACGCGTGCCAATGGTGCCGTCACAATGGCAATAGAGGCCAAGTCGGGAGCAGCCAGTTCCGGATGGCTCACTCTTAACACTCTCTCCCCTTGCCCCTTGTCCCCTACCTACGCCAGCCTGCTCCTGCATTGGAGCAAGGCGCGTGCCAACGGCGCACTCACAATGGCGGTAGAGGCCAAGCCAGGAGCAGCAAGGTCGGGATGGGTGTCTCTTAACCTCTCTTTCCCCTGCCCCCACTTCCCCCCTACCCCAATCTGCTCCTGCATTGGAACAAGGCGCGTGCCAACGGCGCACTCACAATGGTGGTAGAGGCCAAGTCAGGAGCAGCAAGGTCGGGATGGGTGTCTCTTAACCTCTCTTTCCCCTGCCCCCACTTCCCCCCTACCCCAATCTGCTCCTGCATTGGAACAAGGCGCGTGCCAACGGCGCACTCACAATGGTGGTAGAGGCCAAGTCAGGAGCAGCAAGGTCGGGATGGGTGTCTCTTAACCCCTCTTTCCCCTGCCCCCACTTCCCCCCTACCCCAGCCTACTCCTGCATTGGAACAAGGCGCGTGCCAACGGCGCACTCACAATGGCGGTAGAGGCCAAGTCGGGAGCAGCCAAGTCTGGTTGGATTTCTCTCGCATGGACCGCCAACAACAAGATGGCTCCTGCCGATGCTGTTTTCGGGAATCTAGCGGGCGGCAAAGTGGGCGCGTACTACATCAACGGGTACACTGTGTCCTCGATACAGCCCGCCTCGTTTTGGATCGGGCAGACCCCGCAAACGGTCACTTCGGCTTCTGGCTCGACTGTGGTCAAGTGAGTGGGGGAGAGTGCGAGGACCGGCGAGCATGGGAGTGTGGAAGAGTGGGGGGGGTGTGGGGGAGTGGGAAAGAGTGTATAAGTGTGATTATCTGAACGTGCCTTACTTCTCTCCTCTCCCTCCCCTCCCCCCTCCATCCATTCCTCCCCCCCCTTCCATTTCTCCCCCACTCCTGCCCCCCCAGCCCAATGCTTTTTCCTCCTTCCTCTTTCCTCTTTCCTCTTTCCTCCTTCCTGTTTCCCAGTACCCTCATGTGGGCCTATTCCCCCCTGCCCACTGCTCCCACCACTCCCCACCACTCCCCACATTTCATCCCCCTTTGTCCTCATCCCCTCAGGTTCGCTCGCAGGCAAGGCAAGGCATGGCAAGGCAAGGCAAGGCATCTGCATGTGCCATTGTAACGAGGTGACTTTTGAGTCGACTCAAAAGTCACCTCGCGGCCATGCCATGGCATCTTCCTGGCATGGAACAAAAGCACCCTCATGTGGGCCTAGGCCCTTCCCCCACCAATCCACTGCACCCAGCCACTCCCCACCTCTCTCCACCACTCATCTGCTTCGTCCCCACTCTCTCGAGTTCGCGCGCAAGCATTCCACGGGGTCTGTATCGCGCTTCCTGGCGTTCAACACAATCAGACTCCTGTGGGCCTACTCCACCCTCCCATTCACCGGTCCCAACCGCTCCCCACCTTTGTCCACCTCCCTCCACTTGCTCAGGTTCTCTCTCAAGCATTCCACGGGGTCTGTATCGCGCTTCTTGACGTACAACAGAAACAGACTCCTGTGGTGTGGGCATACTCCCCTTCCACCGCACTCAACCAATCCCCACCTCTCTCTTCCACCTGTCATCTCCGTCTATTCCCACTCCTCCCTCAGGTTCTCTCGCAAGCATTCCACGGGGTTTGTATCGCGCTTCCTGGCGTACAACAAGAACAGACTCCTGTGGGCCTACTCCCCCTCGGGCTCCAAGAGCTTGGGCTACCATGGCGGCGCATAGTGAGTGTACCAGGCTTGCTTATAACGAGTATGCTTGGTTGCTTGTAAGGGGTTTGTTTGTATGGTGGGGGCAGGGAGGGAGCAACAGCCTCATGTGGGCCTACTCCCCCTCGGGCTCCAAGAGCTTGGGCTACCATGGCGGCGCATAGTGAGTGTACCAGGCTTGCTTATAACGAGTATGCTTGGTTGCTTGTAAGGGGTATGTTTGTATGGTGGGGGCAGGGAGGGAGCAACAGCCTCATGTGGGCCTACTCCCCCTCGGGCTCCAAGAGCTTGGGCTACCATGGCGGTGTATATTGAGTGTACCAAGCTTGCTCATAACGAGTAGGCTTGGTTGCTTGTAAGGGGTGTGTTTGTATGGTGGGGGCAGGGAGCAACAGCCTCATGTGGGCTTACTCCCCCTCGGGCTCCAAGAGCTTGGGTCCACTTATAGAGGGTACGTATGGTACTTATAGGAGGGTATGTTTTTATGCTTTTAGGGGGTACATATGATGGTACCACGACAAAGAAGATGGCAATCGTGATTATCTCTATCTTTGAGTCAACTCAAAAATTGACTTATCACACACACATGATTATGTTATCACACACACATGATTATGTCATCACACACACTTGATTATGTCATCACACACACATGATTATGTCATCACACACACATGATTATGTCATCACACACACATGATTATGTCATCACACACACATGATTATGTCATCACACACACATGATTATGTCATCGCACACACATGATTATGTCATCACACACACATGATTATGTCATCACACACACATGATTATGTCATCACACACACATGATTATGTTATCACACACACATGATTATGTCATCACACACACATGATTATGTCATCACACACACATGATTATGTCATCACACACACATGATTATGTCATCACACACACATGATTATGTCATCACACACACATGATTATGTCATCACACACACATGATTATGTCATCACACACACATGATTATGTCATCACACACACATGATTATGTCATCACACACACATGATTATGTCATCACACACACATGATTATGTCATCACACACACATGATTATGTCATCACACACACATGATTATGTTATCACACACACATGATTATGTCATCACACACACATGATTATGTCATCACACACACATGATTATGTCATCACACACACATGATTATGTCATCACACACACATGATTATGTCATCACACACACATGATTATGTCATCACACACACATGATTATGTCATCACACACACATGATTATGTCTACCCTGTTTTCCCTCTCCCTTTTTCTGGCCCCCCTTGTTTCTCCAGTGGAAGGATCACTGTGGATTTCTCCTGCAAGACTGCTGCTACTGGTGGGGGCAAAGGAGGGGGTGAAGGAGATGCGGAAGACAATGATGACCGTGACTGAGCTGTTTTTTTATCCCTTTATTTTCCCTCCCCTGATTCTCCAGTGGGAGGATCACTGTGGATTTCTCCTGCAAGACTGCTGCTACCGGCGGGGGCAAAGGAGGGGGTGATGATGACGATGATGATGATGATGATGACGATGATGATGACGACGATGATGACCGCGACCGTCGCGATCGTACGCGCCATCGCCGCTGGCACCAGGGTTAGAACTTAGAAGCCACACAGGAGGAGACTTTTGAGTCGTGCCATCACCACTCGCATCCGGGTTGGAACTAAGAAGCCACACAGGAGGATACTTTCCAGTCGACTCAAAAGTCACCGCGATCGTAAGCGCCGTTGCTGCTGGCATCAGGGTTAGAACTTAGAAGCCAGGCGAGAGGACCCACGAGTCGTACCGTACCAGCACCACTCGCATCTGGGGGTTTGGTTGCTGTGAAGAGAGGCTGCTTGAAGAGCTCTGGAGACAGTTTGAAGGACGTGGAAGACATGGTTTGGGTTTCCAGGAGTTGGGAATAAAAATGCTGGGTGCAGGTGGTGGTACTGCTAAGGTGGGCGTTAAGTACCTATGTTTCATTCTTAAGTTGCGGGGACTTAGGTTGGAGCGCTGGGGCCCAAGGTGGGGTATGAATTTGCATGCATCGGGGTGGGAGAGAAGTGACTAGATATGGTTTTGCATATTGTGCACTTTGCCAGTAGTGGTTTTGGCACGTGCACTGTTTGGTTGCCATCTTGGCAGCTGGTCATATAGGTGGTTGTTCTGTACTACAATCTTCTTATATATCAATATACGGTATTAGTAAAAGAATTAGTGGAAGGGATAGCAGTGATCCAACCAGGCCCTCAGATTGGTTTGAGGGTATGCTGATGGATCAGCGTGCCCCTGCAAACCAGGTGTCCAAATCAGCGTTTGTGGTTGTTGGAAATCCGAATACAGTGTAACGAATATTGTATACCAGTGTGCTGTTTGGTTTTAGTGTAGTCCTCTTTATAAGCCTCCAGCTCCTACAATAATTGTCACAATTATTGAAGGGCCAGAATTATTGGAGGTCAGCATTATGGGAGGGTAGAGGGTACAATTATTGGTACACCATTATGTCAAATGTTGTAGCCTGTAGTGAGGTTTGTCTTAGGGGGTACAGAAGTTAGGGTTTGTCATATGTACCCCAACCAACATCAATGCAACATCCATTCCTCATTCCGACATGGTATCAGCTAGGTTAGGATCCTGTGGGATCCCGTTCCTCCGTTCTCCGTTCGTACCTCCCGAGCCTGATCCTACCTCTCGTTCGTACCAGTTTAGTTGTTACCGCGCCTAGTACCGAGCCTAGCGTCATCTCCCCCGTCGCGTCACGCCCGTTCCCCCCCGTCGCGTCGCGCCCGTTCCCCCCGTCGCGTCGCGCCCGTTCCCCCCGTCGCGTCGCGCCCGTTCCCCCCGTCGCGTCGCGCCCGTTCCCCCCCGTCGCGTCGCGCCTGTTTCCCCCGTCGCGTCGCGCCCGCCTGTTCCCCCCCCGTCCCGTCGCCCTGTCCCGTCGCGTCGCCCTGCCCTGTCCCGTCGCCCTGTCCCGTCGCGTCGCCCTGTCCCGTCCCGTCGCCCTGTCCCGTCGCGTCGCCCTGTCCCGTCCCGTCGCCCTGTCCCGTCGCGTCGCCCTGTCCCGTCCCGTCGCGTCGCCCTGTCCCGTCCCGTCCCGTCCGTCGCCCTGTCTCGTCGCGTCGCCCTACCCCGTCGCGTCGCCCTGCCCTGTCCCGTCGCCCTGCTCCGTCGCGCCGCCCTGCCCCGTCGCGTCGCCCTGTCCCGTCGCGTCGCCCTGCCCCGTCGCGTCGCTCCCGCCCTTTCCCCCGTCGCGTCGCCCTCCCTAGGCCCTAGCCCGTCGCCCTCCCTAGGCCCTGGCCCGTCGCCCTCCCTAGGCCCTGGCCCGTCGCCCTCCCTAGGCTCTGGCCCGTCGCCCTACCCTAGGCCCTGGCCCGTTGCCCTACCCTACGTTTTGGCCCGTCGCCCTAGCCCGCTCTTCCGCTGCGACTGAGTCCTCTTCCCCCCCGGTTGTTACTCGCCTGTTCGTTCGCGTTGGTTCTCACTATGGCGACTCCGCGAGTTCTTCGTTTCGACGCTGACGGTAGACCCCTTGACTTTTCCGTCTGGCTTCTTCGCGCTCGTCGTCTGTCAGAGAGTCAGGTCCAGGGGGGCGAGACCCTCTGGTCACACGCTACTGGTGACCTCCCCGAGCCCCCCGAGCCTACCGCTTTAGGCCCTGCTCCTCACGACGCTGCTACGGCTCGCTTTGCCCGTCAGCGCGCTGACCGGACGGCTTGGACGTCGCGTGACGCTGCGGCCTGCATCGCACTCAGCAGCCTCCTCCCTGAGTCCGAGGAGGTCCACTTTACTCAGGTTCGCACCGCTGCTGCGTACCTCACTGCGATTAAGGCCCGCTACTCTACTCCCGCTACTGTCTCTCTCGGCCGTCTTTTCCTCCCGTTCCTGTTTCCTGATCTTGCCTCGTTTGAGCGCTCTGCTGACTTGATCGCTCACCTCCGCTCGCTCGACGCTAGTTACCGCGCTGCTTGCACTGAGGCACAGCTTGCACTGCTTCCTCCCCCCATGGCGATTACTGTCTATTTCATCGCCACTAGCCTCCCTGACCGCCTTGCCTCCGTCCGTGACGCGCTTCTGCTGAAGCACCCTAGTGAGCTGACTATCGAGGTCCTTGAGTCTGCACTCAAGGACGTCGAGAGCAACCTTCGTTCGGTAGCTGCCGCCTCTGGTACTGTGTCCCCCCCACTCTTCCACGGGTGCACAGTCCCGCAGTTACCCACCTTCACTGCCTCTCTTGCCACTGCCGCTACTGACGCGACTGCGGCTGCTGTTACGACTGCGTCGCGGTCCCGCGGCAGGGGGGGCAAGAAAGGTGGTTCCGGTGGAGGTGGAGGCGGAGGTAGCGGAGGTAGTGGGGGTGCTGTTGCGACTGGCGGTGGTGGGAGTGCAGCGTCTGGAGAGACCCCTCGTGCAGCGGCTGGTGACTCCACTGCACCTGCTGGTGGCGGCGACCCTCGAGCTCGTCAGTCGCCTCCTGTACTGCCGGCCCCGCAAGGTGGAGCAGCGGCGTGGTACCAGGCTCAGCGTCAGCAGCACCTTCAGCAGCAGCAGGAGCCCCTTTCCTCCCAGCAGCCTCAGCAGCAGCAGCGTCAGCAGCTGGCTCCGGGGTCGGGGCTGCGTCAGCCCCAGCGCGGTGCTGCTTACCCTCCCTGCCCCTACCAGGTTCAGACAGGTCCTCGTCGGGGCCACCCTTGTGGCCGCTTTCACCCCCCTGGTCAGTGCTTTGCTCAGCTCACTGACACGGTCCGGTTGACCTACGGGGTTGGCGGTCCTGCTCCTGACTGGCTTCCTCTGGTTCAGCGCTACGGCTCCGCTCTGTGGGGCATGTCTGCTGAGCAGTTAGTTGATCTGATTAGTGCTCCTCATGCTATGTATGCTGTTGTTGACTCTAGTGTTTCTGACTCTGTTTACTCTGGTGTTGTTAGCTTAGGTGCTAGTCTTGCTCAGTTGCCTGTTGCTAGTGTAGGTACTTGTGTA